ATGGAACCCAAATAATCCTATGAGATCTACTCCCCGTACCCCCCCTCCTCCTTTGTTATTATAAACTTATGCCATTGTGGCTCAGCGGTTAGAGCGTATCACTGTTAATGATTTTGTCCTGGGTTCGACTCCCAGCAATGGCTATCTTTGGTCGCCCCGGCCTGGAGCACCAAGGGCCCTCAGTCCTTGGTCCTCCCCATGGATAGATCACGCACCAGGGATCTCCACTGGTCTTCCAAGACATGGTATCTGTTCATCCTCCCTTCCTGTACTGACGTTCCCTTGGTGCCTAAGACCCGTCGAAGACGGTAGTCTGCCCTTGTACCCTACCCGAGGCTCCTTTAGCAAACAATGGCCATTTTATTCGAATCCTTCCTTTGCCAACTTTTTTACTTCGGTCATCCCTACGTAGTATCCCTGTCAATAGTCATAACGCTAGATGGCGCGCACACTCGGGATTCCATAACAGAACGGTGAGATCCGTGTGCGCTACTACACCGTGACACTTTCCACTACTTACACTAGGCTGTCGCATTCGTACGTTAGGCTATCCTCGCAACACTGACTAACTAGGAATCAACGGCGTGAAGGAACCCGAAGCGTCCCTCATGTCCGCTAGCTAGCCTAGCTTGATCGGGCTCATCTCCGGTGTGGTTCCCAAGGTATTCTGGTCCTCTTCTCTCATTCTCCTATTCGGCCTTCCATTTCTACTGCCTATTGCCTTACTCCTAAGGGTTCCAACCCCTGCTTAATGGCAGCAAATCCTTCTCCTGTGGCTGATTTTACTTCGTCAAGCTGGAAGAGACATTCAGGAACTTATCCAATTGGATCTCACTTCTGAGGTTGCTACTATGCTTTTAAATAAAGAGCACCTCACTAAGGAGGGTTTACTAAAAATAGTTTCGCTTCTTTACAGTTCTTCGGTTCTTGTACGGAAGGAGCCCATAAGAACCACCCACGCAAAACCCGGAGAACGCATATGGGTGTCCTACCGTACGACGACAAATAGTCTGAAGG